TGGTGCTTCACAGTCAGGCCTTGTTGCCGGTACTGATTCAGATTGGGCCTCTGATCCCAACTCTCGTCGGTCACAGACCGGTTTCTTCTTGAAACTAGCAAACGGGATCTTCTCGTGGCAATCACGAGCACAGAAGACCATTGCTCTTTCTTCTACGGAAGCTGAGTACATGGCAATGAGCGACTGCAGTCGCCAAGTGGTCTGGGTTCGCAATCTACTTGCTGAACTTGACTACCATGTCGATCATATACCTCTATCCGGAGACAATCAAGGATCGATCTTCATTGCATCGAATCCTGTGACGGAGTCAAGGTCAAAGCACATTGACATCCGATATCACTATATCTGTGAGGTACATGATAAAGGAATCGTTGATGTCTTCTATATAGACGGAAACGACAATCCTGCGGACATCTTTACCAAGAACCTTGGTGTAGTGAAGTTCTTGAAATTCCGCTCACAACTTGGTCTCCGCTTCCCAAAGTCCAGAGCTGCTTAAAGTGCCTGCTATGCTTGCGTAACCATTCGGATACTTAGCGAGGGGGAGTGTTGAACAGGCGCTGGTTTACACAGCTTGCCTAACACAGCCGTCACAAGATATGGAACGGCACAGCCGGTTACTGCAATAACCGAGGCTGTACTACTCATGTGATACACACACAGCTTCGCTGTGTACGCACTGCTTCTCTGTGTGACTGTGCATCCTGGGAATGTACTGTATAGTACTACGTAGCCACAGATGTACAGTAGTATATATAGGGGGACCTCTGTACCCCCAATCTACAGTTCAGTTCACTTGAACATCTCCTCTCATCGCTCTTACAAGCCTCTTACAATCAATCAACACTTCTAGGTGAGTTGCAGGCTATCCGCTGTCGTTGCCATCCGTGGGAGAGGCCTTCGCCCCCCGGGTTCAACAAGTTTTGCCTCTATGTAGCTAGCATATAGCCTTCACTTCTGACATCTGCGCGGACACCGGGAAAGCGAAGAACCAGATATAACGCGATAACTAAACTAGTCAATTTTCTTATCCTTCCGATAGGTACTATACATCATTGTGCGGATAGGCAAGAAAGCGCAAGCTGGCTCACAAGTTGTGCCGTCGTGCGATACCAGCGCAAATCTTGCACGGTATTGTACGTATTGTATGGGCGGGCCCTACCTGCACCCATATTGGGCTCTCGGGCCGCCCCGGGCCTCAACCCTCGCTTCGGGCCACACCGGCAATGTTGGAGGACATTTTCGCACTTTTGCTGATGACAAATTCTCCCCATTCCCATTGCTGTCCATCCTTCCCGGTCTCCGTCATGTCGCATTCAATGGGACATAAATGCGACTAGGGTTGGTAGCCAGCTCCTTCTGCCCGATCTACTCTCCGGCAGGCAGCTTGTGACTAGCCTCCGGAGCCTCACTATCCGCGGTGTTAGGTTCCTAACGGAATCAGCCTTCCTTCGCTTCCTGTCAGCCTTTCCGAACATCGAAAACCTAACCTGCGAGAGTCTCATATTATCTGCCGGTACTCCTCTTGGGGAACGTGATTTATCCTGTCGAGTGCAGCTGCGAACGCTGAATGTGAGCGTTATCATGATCATCTGCGTCCCTCGATTGCGACTCTCTGGGTTTCCTTGCAGATACTTCCAAACGTGAGCCCACGCGTCAGAAAGCTACTGTTTCAGTAAGCTCTACAGGCGATCAATAGTTCGCTTGCGATCGGGGAACATACTGGTCCGTATCTCATTCCGTCTCCTGGTTGTATACCTCATATAATCCAAATTAGAATTGACCTCTATGCCGCCTCCTCAATCAGGCAAGGATCGCCAGACCTCCTTAACATGGTGGATGCCAGCCAATACCCATAACCTCGAACATGCCACACACCTCTTGCGCGATTTGCAACAGACAGCGATAAGAGATGTCATCCTGGTCTTCTGGGAATCCGACGTTGGATACCTGTGCACGCAATGTCGTCGACCTGCCACCCAGGAGCTCTTTGCAGCCATGGAGAAGGTCCTGCTCGACTATCCTGTTCACCGCGTACTATTGGCTGTTCCAAAAAGTCTGATCCTGAGTGTGCGCAAGACTATTTCCTGGTCCGACGAGTTGAGCAGGCTGCTTCGTCCACTAAGCGCGAATTGGGCGCCCATGGTAGATGTCAAATGCTGTGAGTCTCGTTCACTAATCATGATCATGAGGTAGACATTGACTAGGGCAGCTCAGCTGGTAAACCTGGGCATGACGCGGCCATCACCGCACTCGTCGTCTCTCCAGATGGGCAGTGGGTAGCGACGGCATCCTGCGACTCCACTATCATCATCTGGGATGCCCGAGATGCATGTGTCTCGCAAGAGTGGATCGCGCATGTCGGACACGTCCAGGATCTCGCATTCTCTCCAGACAGCCGATACATCGCGTCCGCAGGTCAAGATCGAACGGTCGCGGTCTGGGACATCAGTGGCAGCGCACACCAAGTCGCCTCTCTCTCGGGTCACGTTGCTCCCTGCAGCAAATGCGCGTGGTCCAGCGACGGCGCTCATATTGCATCCCGAGACGGCAACACTGTACGGCTCTGGGATGCACGAACCTTCCAGCTGCTACCCCTAGATGCTCCCGAAGAGACGGGTTACATCGAGTTCCTATTCTCCCCTGACAGCCGCTGGCTGCTCATCCACAGCGGGAACGCCTGTGGTGTTTGGGACGTTGTATCTGGTGCATACCTCGCGTTCCCATTGCAACGAGATTGCAACGAGGAATTTTTTCTTCGAGCCGCATTTAGCCCGGAGAGTACACACATCGCTGTTGGATATGACGATGGGATGCACCACGTTTGGAACGTCGCGACTGGACAGGAGCCTCTGTTTTGGCAGGCGCACGAAAATGTGCGAGCCTTCAATGTGGAGTTCTCCCCTGACGGCCGGCTGCTGCTCTCAGCGGGCGACAAAGCAGTGAAGACATGGGATGCGGATACGAGTGCGACGGTCCAGTCGTTTGAAGGGCACGAGTCGCTGGTTACTGAGGCGTGCTTCTCCCCGTGTGGGAAGTACATCGCCTCTGCATCCAGTGACGAGACGGTGAGGGTATGGAGAACCAGTGATGGAGCATGCTTGGCGACGCTCTCCGACCATGGTCACTGGGTCTCGCATGTTTCTTTTACTCCGGACGGGACGATGTTGTGGTCCGCAGCAAGGAATGGAACCGTCTTGGGCCGTCGGCTGCAGGATGTCATCCCAGATGAGTTCGTAGAAGATGTACGGTAAATCGATGACCCATGTTTCGCTTCGCATCTCGTACGTCTAAGCACGTCAGAATGTATGTAGACGGACTCGATTTCGCTTACGGTACCTTCATACCCTCGTTCGTTGATCCAGACGACTGTCATTCTCAGTGCCTTATCCTGTGTCTTGTAGCTGCCCGATCATGTGTGATCCCTCTCTGCCCGTGCAGCGATGGATTCCGCGAACGTACTACTAAATCAATCATAGTGTCCAATTCGTTCCCGATAACAGAATGCGAAGTAGACTGTAAGAGAGCGGAGTGCTCGCGAGCGCGCATTGCCTGATACTTACACTGTACAGAATTTCGCCCGGTAGCCGCCCGAGGAAAAGCATGAGCAAATAACACCCTGGGCGAACGTAAACCATGGTCCATTGCCACCTCAAGGATTCGGAACCACCATGGCACTCTTCGCTTCCCACTCACTATCAAGCCCACGCCACCGCTCACCAAAACACCGGTCTCGCAACGTGTCCGACGTCTGCGGAGCCCTGCCCTGCGGCTCTGACGCTGATCAGCGACACGAAGCGACATCTGCACTAGAAAGAGCTGCGCTGGCCTATGGTACACACGTAGCAGTTGCGGACTTCTTGGGGTTCTGCCCCCCCCCCCCCAGCAGTGATTTCATGGACGTCGAACAACGGCTTCAGAGGTTCGGCGGCCTGCACGCTTGCCACTCAGGACCTCTTGGTCTTTGAGGCTTGCGTTGTGCTCTAATTGCTGCGCGCTAGACCGGGTGGTATGGCGAACGGTTGGTACGGATGCGTACGTCCCCCTGATGCCGGGTACTGCTCAGGATATATCGTGACGCTCGTTGGTGAGCGTTCGAAGGCTAGGTCGAGCGCTGACCTGTCCGGTAGCTGTAGAACGTCGACTGCGATGCTGCCCGGGATCGGACTCCAGATGCTCACCTGCGCAGTTATACTCCTCACTAGGACCCATGCCGATAAAAGGACATAAGGATGATGTGAAGGCTTTTGCACCGTTCCGTGATTCTCTTCTTTCGACTAAGCCGCACTTAAGTTCTCGTCTTTCTCGTGCCCTCTCGCACTCTCCTCTCTTCTTCCACGCAAAGTCCCCAGACCCAAAGACTCCCACAGCAGGACAATGTCTGCCCCCCATCCGACCATTCCTGTGTCCGATGTATTGCCCCGGGCCGCTGCACTGACAAATTGGGAGAAGACAAAGAACCGAAGATTTAATTGGCTCGTGCAGTGCATCGCCGAGGCCGTACGTCTCTCGTTCTATCATACCGTCGTCCATTTGTTGTGGTCTAACGCTTATGCTACGGACATCGCATAGACCGGAACCTTCTTGTACACCTTCGCTGGAGTAGGCGCGACGGCGGCTTACGTTTTGGGGAAAATTAGCAAAACCGATGGCCTTGGCAGTACGTACTCTACATGCAAAAGTAGGAGTCGCAATATATGACGAGTGAATGTCTTGTGCAGGTCTCCTTCAAGTCGGAATCGCCTACTCCGTTGGCACAGTCCTGGCCATTACAACTTGTGTCGTACGTCGCGCATATATTCGCACACTATCAAAAGATATTAAAGCTTCGCAAAGGCAATTTCAGGCGGTCATTTTAACCCAGGCTTGACCATCCACGCTGTCGTCTTCAGAGGCTTCCCCATTTCAAAGGCCCTTAGGCGAGTGTCTGGGTTTCACTTTCCCCAGATTACGATACTGATCAAATGGTTGAAATAGGCTCATAGTAGCCCAGGTATTGGGCGCGTATATTGCGTGTCTACTTGTTTACGCGCAGTACAAGCAACTTGTTGACGTGAGTCCTTTGGTCGACCATGGATTATGGTTGACATATTGACAAGTCTATGAACTCAAGTCCGCCGTTGATGGTCTGAAGGCGGCCGGCGTATACGAGAGTGAGATGTTCACCCCGGACGGCCCTGGCGGGATTTTTGGTCTATACGTGACCCCAGGGTCGAACCTCGGATACGTCTTCCTCAACGAGTTCGTCTGCGATTTCGTTTTGGGCTTCTGCATATTCGGGGTACTCGACCCCTCCAACCACCTCGCGACCCCGACGACGATGCCGTGGTTGATCGCCCTAGCATAGTGAGTGTCCCATCCGCAACTAGACGTGAAGTTATTATTGACCTCACTCTGCTCTGTCCAGTGGCGTAATAGTATGGGGCTTCGCTCCAGTCGGCGTCGCTGCCAACGCCGCACGCGACCTTGGCGGTCGCTTCGCCGCCCTAACGTTGTTTGGGAAAGGGGCGGGCGGTGGTGCCTACGCCGCCCTCGCCGCCCTCACGAACATCCCCGCAATCCTTCTCGCGGGGCTCTTCTACGAGGTCGTCTTCGCTGACCATACACGAGGTGCGTGCCCGACCTGTCCATCACCTAAGATCTCGCTGATTGGCCTATTGCCGGACAGCCATCAACCCTGAGTGGCACCAGATCATTGCGTCCGTGCAGGCCAACGCTGTCAGGAGGCGGGGCGGCGAACCGGCGTCGCCTTCGCTCCATGCTTCGACTCTCGCTGAAGATAAATTGGGCGCATAGACGACTTGGTGACTAACGAGACTACTAGATCACCATCCCCGCTACTTGTAGTGTCGCATTATACCTTTCAGAACCGTTGCGCACTCGGATCTGGGCTAATACTTACATAGACAATCCCATCGTGCACGCGTAGACCGACTGCTTCAATGTCAGGCACTACGTGTGAGAGTGGGCCCTTCAAGCTACCTACCACGTTGACCTTCTCGCTAGCCAATAACACTCGGCACTGATCGTTGCCTTATATGCAGTCAAGTCTGCGCATGCTGCTCACGTCCGTGGATGAGTTGTAGCCACAGACTCCTGTCATTGTACATGATACAAATACAATTTGGCTTCACTACGCCTTGTCTCATGCGGTCTCCTGGGGATGGCCAATGAGCTTCGTCCCGCTAACCTTGTTGTTCTTCAGCCGCTCCAGACCCTCCGGGATACCTGCAAGGCCGTTCGGAAGCACCTCGACCTTGTTCGGCTACAGCGTGCTCCCGTCAGACAACTTCTCCATAACCCACGCTGAACAGAGACAAACGTACCACAATCGCGCCCGTCTTCAGCCACTCCGTCAGCCTGCTGTACTGCTCGACACCAAGCTGTCTGTTCTCAGGGGAGTGCACGTTGCCGAACACGTTCACGATCTTCTTGTCCCCCGCCTTCCGCTTGTCCTCCGGGATCTGCACGGGCAGCGTGAGGAACAGCACGCCCCCCGGCGCGAGCACGTCGTATCCGAGCGCCTGCGTGTCCGCGAGCGAGATCGCGTCGTAGACGAACTCGACGGGCTTCCCGCCCGCGATCTTCGCGACCTCGGCAGCGAGCGTCGACGCGGGGAGGGAGCGGTCCAGGACGTGGGTGGCGCCGAGGGACTTGAGGAGCGCCTCGTTGTGGGGGGACGCGGTGGTGATGATGGGCGAGAACTTGGAGAGCCGCGCGGCCTGGATGGCTGTGTATATGCGCGACGGCAGACGTTAGTGTTTGCGGCGGGCGGCCACGGGGAAGAACGACGCACCGTACTGGCCGACGGAAGACGAGCCCCCGAGGATGACCGCGGGCTTGCCCGCGTACGTGGTCTCGCCGCCCTCCTCGTACGGCGCGACGAGGCTGGCGGACTTCGCGTCGGGGTGATGGTTCCAGAGCCCGGTCGTGACGGTAGCGAGTCCGAGCGGGACGGACGCAGCCTGATCAAACGAGATGTTCTCGGGGATCTGCAACCATGCGCGCACAGCGACGGCATTGTTCGGTCAGACGGAGGCAGATTGGCATGGGGGCGCGCGCAGATCGACATGACAGCATGTACGTACCTTTGCCGTAATTTCCGCAGGGACGATAGTGTACTGCTGGAACGTCGCCTTGTCGTTGGTGAACCAGCCTTGGAATAGACTAGACGCACGCGAGAGGAAGGGTCAATGGTCAGCATAATGCGATGGATAGAGACGGTCCGAGAACGAAAGGGAACGTATACACACATCTTATCGCCCTTCGCGAGGTTGGAGACTTCGGAGCCGACCTGCTCGACGATGCCCGCGCCGTCGGTGCCGCCGACAAAGGGGTAGTCAGAGACAAAGTAGCCGTACTCCTTGATTTTCCAGTCGACGGGGTTCAAGGCGGTGGCGACGACCTTGACGAGAACGTCTTTGGGGCCGGGGGTCGGGATGGGGACATCGACCACTTTCCATTCGCCCTGCTTCTCGGGGAGGATCAAAGCCTTCTGAGTGGACATGGTTCTACTGTAGAGGTGTGTACGGTCGACAGATGAGAGAGTGGGATGCGAGTGCTAGTCGAAGACTTTTCGAGAGCAGACCCGGGATATATATGTACTCCCGCCACCGGTGTGTTTCGCTCGAGCTCTTGGACAACGGTGACGCCATCTGCGCATGCATAGATGGGAATGCGCTGATTCAGCTGGGACCATGTACTCGTAATCAGCTTCTACAGCGTTGCATTAATGTCTCGAGATGCGCCTCGGCCCCGTGAAGCTGCCCCGATACCCAACGATTTGCTTTTGAAAGCTGGACTTGACCATGGTGACAACAAGAGTTCTTGGCGAAGTCTGTGATGCTCAGAGTGCGCAACTCCGAAGCCATTCTGCGACCGATTCCGCGCCGATTCTGAATATCCAGTGAGTCCGGAGGAAGATTCTGGGAAAGATTAGGCCTGGGTCGGCTGCAGCCGATCTGCAAATCGGCGTCGATGTGGGTTCTCTCCGAGATGGCCGGGAGACCAACAGGGGCCGTTGTCGATCTCGTTTTGCGGAACAGCTTAGCGCCGATCTACAAACCGATCTTTGTTTTGGCAGGCGCCGATTTGTGGATCGACTGCAGCCGACCAGGGCTCATAATGGTCACGATTCTGGGGAGGATTTTGGGGGAGGCAGAATCGCGGACAGCAGAATTGCAATTTCTGGAGGGCAGAAGCTCCTCCGGAGCATCTGCGATTTTGCGCGAATATGCCAAAATCGCCATCATGAGGACGAATTCGGCCTTCGAAGCTTCAGGATTGTCCCAGATGTAACGAGAATCGATCGAGATCGAGCATACCATGTCCAGTAACAACGATCTTCAGGCTCCGAACGTTTGGTTACGGGACTACCTACAGCCCTGAAATATATTCCACGTACGTCAATATTTGTGGACAGATCGTTTCTCAAAAGACTGTCCGTATTCAGAGCTATGAGAGCGGCAGCTTCGTGCTACAAGTCCGTCTTTTCCAGTGACATGATATCGCTCATACGTCTAACGGAGACAGTCCCATCACTCGCTCCAAGGATAGCATCCTTGCATCCGGAGAGAACCCCACGCGTAAGACTCTGGCCCCACTCGGGTGCTCGGAGAGTGACGCCCCGCACGACTCATCATCCGGTCGCCACAGACGGACAGTCTCGTCAGCGGAAGAGACCACTATGTATCACAATGCCAAGTGAATCTAAGAGAGGGGGTGGCAGCAAAATTCAAACAGCAGCAGCGTCAACAGCCAGGTATGTAACTCAAGAGGATGCCCTTGCGGTCGACGACCTCGGGCGTCTCCGTCTCAACGGGCTGACCCTTCTTCGTGAGGCTGGCCGGCGTCCAGCGGTTCGCAGAGAGCTCGATGGGCGCAACAGGCTCGAAATTCTGCTGATCGGCGAGCGAAGAAGGCGTGGTCCTGGCCAGACGGCGGCGGACCGGGCTGCTCCTTGTGGGGCTTGCCGCGTTTACTCCGAGTAAGGCCGTGTGCGGGACTCGACGAGCGAACCATCGGAGAGGGACGTTCGAACGGCATTCCGGCCGGACCGCCCGACCTGGATGTTGATCGTCTGGACGCAGCGAGGTGCTGGGAATCGCGATCTAGACGACGGCGCTGTCGGAGTATTCGCTGGCGGGCCCTTTGCCCAAGGCCCCTTTGATGGTAGCTGGGACGGCTCCGGTGCAGAGGTCGTTGAGGATTTGCTCATGCTGGGGTGGGATGAGCTGGACACTGAGACGCAGGGATAAAGACTCACGAAATGCAGCGATGGGTTTGACCGATTATATGTCTTAGAGCGAGGCGAAGGGTGAGGGCGCTTCAGAGGTACAAAGTTTGCTTCCTACCGCAGCACAAGCCTTCAGGCATAGGCCCAGACTGTCTTCTTTGTGCCCTATCCACATCAGCAGACCTCCGATCCTTGAAGTAGACCTATCGTTGGGGTGGCCAACATGGGGGTCTGAAATCCTTTCAGGATCCCGATGGCGTTCTTGACCAGGCTGATATTGACTTGGCTCTTGTGGTCATTTAGGCGTAACTGCAGTGTGAGGGAACGAAGATGGGCCCATCCCAATCCTACCGGCAGCGGCTCTAGCTCTGCGGTTAGTACACTTATCTCACGTTTCATACAAGATCGTAAGAGTCACGTACCTTGACATAGCGCGCTGGCGGTATCCTGGTCTGCTGTCAGCACCAGGGTCTCTATGGTCTGATGGATCGACTCGAGTAGCAATTTAGCTAGCGGCTCTGCCAATTGGACTAGCTGTAGTTTCGAAGGCATTCGTCAGATGCGTGACACGTTACGAGATCGTTCGTGGTATTTACAGTGAGTGTTTCTAAATGGTGAGGCAAGCATTGTGTGGCCCGATCCAGTTGTGCGCTAGTGATGTCCGTCTGGCGAACCTTGACGAAATCGCAATAGAATTCTCTTAGGCGGGCGAAGACCAGCAAGAGTAGGCAGAACTCCGCGTACGTGGTGAAGAGATAAGATAAGCGCAAGGTCACCGCAAGGTCACAACCGGTGTCCCGAATCGCCGATACTTAACACGTCAGGATGGACAGCGGCAGGCTGTCAAGCTCTAGGCGCTGATCTGATGTATCACGAAATCCGCATGTGAACGTGAGCTGAGAGAGATTTGGGAGGACGTGGAACAAGGGAAAAGGGTGAAAGTTATCTGGGCGTTCAGCAGCGCAGACACCTCGGGAGGCAGTAGTGTCGAAAATGGGATCTTCTGCCGAAAATTCCCGCATCGAGACGCGATCTCTCCTCAATCTCGCCAGATTTCGGTCTAAATATTGCAGACTCAGCTCTCTGGCATAGTAGAAGTGATACGAGGCATCGAATGCTGCCATAGAGTGCCACAACGAAGGTAGACCGTGTTGAGTATATTGCTGAGGAAGCCAAAATCGCAGTACTGTGATCGTATCTATTATAGCCTCCCTCAATTCTTGTACTTTTGTTTTCCTCTCCTCCTGAGCCGGCGCCTGAATGGTGATGGACGGCCGTTTTGCATCCATGGTGTCTGCATGCGTGAGAGTGCTTACGAACTTGAAGAGGAGTTGTTTTGTGCTCTGCGGCAGGATACTCCGTCATCGGGACGAGCGCTATGCTGCTGATTAGCCATATCAGGAAGTTTTCGAGTGTCACGAAGGAAGGCTACCAGTTTCCTCTTCGATCTCCCCTATGAATTTTCACTCAAGGCTTCAATACAGTAGGATCAACAACTGACATGAGATTGTTCAATCCGGATTTGGGCTCAGAGAGGGTGGGAGAGCTCGCGCCGGCGAAAGAAAGTCAGTGTCCCGAGGACCGCGTATCCTTGGCGAAGTCTGTAATCAATAACGAAGGATCGGTCAAGATCAACCATATCTGTCCACCTACAGCCCCGAAATGCTGACTACAATCCACGCCGTACGTAAATGTGGACAGTTGGTTGTGCAAACGAATCTCCGTATTCAGAGCTATGAAAGCAGCATCGTGCTACAAGTTCGTGTTTTCCAGTGACATGATATTGCTCATACGTCTAACGGAGACAGTCCCATCACTCGCTCCCGAGGATAGCGTCTTTCCATCCGGAGAGAACCCCACGCGTAAGACTCTGGCCCCACTCGGGTGCTCGTAGAGTGTCGTCACGCACGACCCATCGTCCGTCCGCCAGAGACGTACAGCCTCGTCAGAGTACTCCGCCGCGACGTATTTCCCGCACGGAGAGAAGCAGGCTGTGTCGGTTCGACCCGCGTGTCCCTCGAGAGACAGAATTATGGCATGGGTGGACGCATCCCAAAGTATCAAGGGATTGTCCCACGACGTGGACAGTAACAGCTTCCCATCCGGCGAGAATGCGACGTTTGAGACCTGACTTGTGTGCTGCTCCACAACAGAGAGGAGCTCTCCTGTCAACAGATCCCAGATCCCGATCCCACCGTTGTCGGACCCAGCGGCGATGCGTTTGCTCTCGGGATCGAATGCAAAGGCGTCGAGGTATATGTGTCCATCCGAATGAAGGACCTTGGGCGGCGCGCCCGACATGAGGTCCCATAGGGTGCAAACGAGCATACCCTGAGAGACGAGCCATCGTCCATCAGGAGAGAAGCGGACATCGAAGACGTCATCGCTGTTGGGCGACTTCAGCACAATGAGTAGCCGGAATGTCCGCGCGTCCCAGAGCCGTATAGTAGTGTCGTAAGAGCCCGATGCAATCACAGTGCCATCAGGCGACCACGCACAGCTCTCGACTGTATATGCGTGTCCTTCGAGCGTCGCGATCTTCCGTGGGCTTTGGCTGATGTCCCAGACTGCAACCTTCTTGTCCTGGCCTGCGGACGCAAGGTATTGGCCGTCGGGAGAGAACGCGAGTGACAGCACCGATCCAGCGTGAGCCACCCATTCCTGGACAAGGTGCCCATCTGAGTCCCAAAGGATGATGGTCGAGTCGTCAGCGCCGGTTGCAATCCAGTTGCTGTTTGGGGAGCAGACGAGAGAATGCACCTCACCATGATGGGCAATAACGGTGGCTGGGTAGAGTGTTGGTGTGAGTCCACTTCCGATATCCACTGCAACACTAACCTGACTTCGTTGCCACTGTGAGTAGCCCCTGCCCTGCTAGCCCAGGAAAGTATTTGGCGAGCTCTTGATGCCAAAAGTCCCTCCGACGGGAGCAAACAGGATTCCCGGAGAAGAGGATCCTTCTCTGATGGCCGACACCAGCGAGTGTCCGGTTCAAGTCCAAGCATAAGCCTAGCCTGTCTTCTTTGTCGCCTATCCACCTCAGCAGACCTCTGATCCCCGAGGTGAAATCTATCGTTGTGGTGGCCAACCTGGGGGTTTGAAATCCTTTCAGGATCCCGATGGCGTTCTCGACCAGGCTTGCATTAAATTGACTGTTATGGTCGTTGAGGGGTAACTGCAGTGTAAGGGAACGAAGACGGGCCCATCCCGATCCTACCGGCAGCGGCTCTAGCTCTGCGGTTAGTACACTTATCCCAAGTTTCAAACAACATCGCATGATCCACGAACCTTGACATAGCGCGCTGGCTGTATCCTGGTCAGCTGTCAGCACTAGGGTCTCCATGGTCTGATGGGTCGACTCGAGCAGCAATTTGGCTAGCGGGTTTTCCAATTGGACTAGCTGTAGTTTCGAAGGCATTCATCAGATATGTGGCACATTATAAGAACGATCGTGGGAATTACAGTGAGTGTCCTTATATGTAACGACTGAGACAAGCAGCGTGTGGTCCGATCCAGCTGTGCGATAGTGATGTCCGTCTGGCGGATCTTTACAAAGTCGCAATAGAATTCTCTTATACTGGCGAAAGCCAGCAAGAGTCGGCAGAACTCCGCGTACGTGGGGAAGGAGAGATAAGAAAGGCGTAAAGTCACAACCGGTGTCCCGAACCGCCGATAACATGTCAGGACGGACAGCGGCAGGCTGCCAAGCTCTAGGCGCTGATCGGAAGTATTATGGGTTCCGCGAGTGAACGTGAGCTGAGAGAGATTGGGGAGGACGTGGAGCAAGGGGAAAGGGGGAAAGTTATCTGGACGTGATGTGATGGAGCCTACAAGCGGCCCAAGATGAGGGTAGACCTGCAAGAAATCGCAAAGCGCGAAGACGTCAGCCCTGCTCTTCTTCGAGAGCGCAATGTCGGTGACCATCAAGCATAGACAGCGGGGGCGAAGCTGGCGGCACGTAAGGGAAATGTTGCGGAGAACTTGCAGGTTGTCGCCCGAGTGGTTGATGATCCTCTCGAGCACCTCCCAGGGGAGTTTGGGAGAGGAGAACATGGTGGAGCGAGCACAAAAAGACGTTGCTCGACTTAGCACCGCAGCAGCAGAAAACGAGGCACTGCTCGCCGACGTCAGTTGCCCGGCATTATCCGGATCGCAGGAGTGGAAGACGCACAGAGTGTGCAGACTCGGCCTGGCTCACCGAGAGAGTTGCAACGTTCATGTAGTATACATCTGAGGGAAAGTATGCCAGAGCATCGTGCCCTAGGAGTCCGTATCAGGGGACTAGTTCTGGATCTGGAATACGGTCCCATCGCTAACGAGTCTATAGTCAGACTCGTCTTTGACAACTTCGCCAGTGTAACGTTCCACAAGCGGTTTCCAGCACTCCTCCTTGAGTTGCATGTGCTCGCCTTCGCACGTCTCGAGCGTGACCCGACCTGTCTCGTCCAGCGTCCTCAGCCCGATCCAGTCCTCGGTATACAGAGGCTGCAAGCGCATCGGCACGATGGTCTTCTCATCGCCCGTGCCATTTGAGGAGGCATATGAGCCGAACCACGCGGACTCTTTAGGGACGACGGTCTTGTCCGCAGAGAACAGAACAAGTACCAAGTTGCTCAAGGTGGCAAGGTTGTCAGCGTACGTCGAGTTAATGTGCTCGGGTACCTCGTTGTTGACCAAGGCGAGGAATCTGGAGGAGTTCAGGTAGAGATCGAGTTGGGCTGGGTCGCGATAGTATTGTGCCTGCGTGGAGGACAGTTCGTACGGACATCAGTACTCAGAACGCGACATGTACGGCTTACCTGGACGAGGTTGTGCTGCGCCCACTCCGTGTAGACACCCCCACGGGCAGCGTAACGCCGGGCTAGCTGACAAAACAGGTCCCATCGACTACACAAAGGGAGGTCGGAGACACCCATGTGCTGCGAGCCAAAGGTGACGAGGTTGTTCACCGGCGGCGCATTGTACCTCTCAATGTACGCTCGTAAGAACTGGCCGCCTGCATGCGGGGCGTGAGGACGAAGACATCCTACAGGGTGGACTGACGCACCTTGTGAAAACCCAATCGCATCAAACCCATACTGTAGCTCCGGAATCTCCGCTAGTTGCTCCGATACCACTTCCAGCTGCTCAGTCACGTCTCCAAACTTGGCATCCCCCTGCGTTAGCCGCGTCCATGGCACGAGTTAGCTGGTATGCCACTTACGAAGCCCGCCTTCTGATCCTGCTCCAGATCCTCATTCAGCCACACCGAGTGAATGAATATCCCAGGGTGTATGTCCTTGATGAGTTGCATGAATTCAAGCATCCCGGCGGACGCGTAAGAGTCTCCGAGGCCATGCCAAATGACTAGAGGTCGCCTTGATGGGTCTGTCAGTCGGACAGGAGTAGATATACCAAAGCTAGTGAGTGCCAGCAGCGAGATCCACAGAAACAGCAAGTTAGCCATGGCTGAGAGGACGAGGAAAACGAGGGCGAGGAAGAGGTAGTAGCCGGCGTCTCCACAGTGCAAGGTCTTACTTACAGCTGGTTGCGAAATTTATGCCGGCCGACTCCGAACGACGCTCGCGCACTTTCTGCATCGTAAAATGAAACAAATTCCATAAATCACCCTGCACTATCAAACACCTAGACCACAAGGTATTCGACCCTTCTGGGTCCATAAGAGCCTGAAACATTATGAAAAAGGGTGATCCACGACGTTCGTAGAAGGCTCTTTGCAAGGACCTCACGGGCGCTACTTTGAGCAGGTAGGCTGGAGCGAACAGACAGGCTCTCAAGAACGGAAGAGGCAGAATTTGGACAGCAATTCACCTAAAAGACGGTGTTGATGGTCCGGATAGGCTATTACAGACAGCTGCGTGGCAAGGGTGCTTCGAGAAAGCTGGAACTAGATGCTACTCAAACACTGCCTCTGTCGGCATTGCATAGTGTTGATGATGTGTCTGCTGACGAAGTTCGCACTGGAAAGGTATCAAGAGTACCTATAAATACTTTTTTTAGAGATATCAGAGCGGGGAAACGACATTGAAGTGGGGATAGGCAGCGCCCGGGTTAACCGAGGAGGCGCGCGTCAGAGCGCCCGGCCTTCGCTTATGCCTCGGGGCTCGAATTGCATGATAATCTACGGCTTGATCAGACGGCAGGACGGCCAAATGGAATGCTGGTGGCTGAAGGGCGGTCAACGTGTAAAAGAAAGATCTCTCCCCGAAACCTCCCATTATGACTGAGCAGAGTGGTGAAGGGGTATCTTAGACATTGAATGCACAAGTTCTCTCGTGGCGATTTTCAAGTTGGAGCCTAGTTCTCGAGATATTGTAAGAATTGAAAATCTACACGAGAGAATATGTTCTACACGTCATTCCCTACAACTTTTGAGTGAGCATCCCAGGCTCAAAACGCGCTCAGAGCGCAAAAGAATGTAAGCGCCATGCCCACTGGGAAGGGGGAGAGGGTTAAGCGCCTCTCAGCCACCAACCAGAGCGGTAGTGGTCGCTGTGCCTTCATGTCCTACACTGGAGTGAGCCATGCTCATCTCGGCCAAGCAAAACAATTCACAATGCATATAATACTTCTTACACATCTGTACTACGGTTTATCCTGCCTGTGAGGGGAACAAACCATTGGAAGTCCCATAATACCACCAAGATCCTCGAGAGCGCCTCATCGGAGTCGAACATCGAGGTCGGGTAGATGAGAGCGGAAGACTATCTCTGAGCGCTATCGTTATATAAGCAGAACATCGGCTAGCGGGCGCTGCCTATCCCCAATTGAAGCCCATGAGAGTTACGAAGATATGCCGATGTCTGAACCTCTTCCGGCGCTTGATGCGCTGGCAGGAGGCAGACTACCGCTCGGGGCTAAGAATGTGTCAGAATCTTCCTGTAAGCCCACAAAACCTAGTCTGAATCAGCCGTATAATTCTATAAGATACGTTTCAAGGCGGTGCGCAGATGGCTGAGTGAGAAACCTCATCGCCTATAGGAAACTTTCAGTGATTTCCCTCGAAGGGCATAAGTCGGGAACCAGGAGTCCGACGCTCTCCATTCAAGTTCGTGAAGTCTCATGCTCACTTGTATAGAGGTTATATACAGTTCATAGAGCACAGGGGAATGGAATGGCCGGTGCATGAATTATTTGGTTTTCTCGATTTCTTTGATTTTCTCGTGGTCGAAACTGCGTCGGAGTTGGTCGGGCATAAATTTCGCAACCAGCTGTACCGTCCGATTGCCGCTTGCGCACAGGGTTTAAACGTTGAATGCTCATTATGCAATATGTTGACGCATCGCGTAGGACGCCGAATGTAATATACACATGTCGTCAGCGCAGTTGAAAACAAGCGTCATATCCCCCATCAAATACATACAAGAACTTGACAAGATTGCCCGAAGCAAGGATCGCTTTCGTGCAGTGGAGGGCGAACTTGTCTAGAGCGTATACTTAAGCATTTGGAGTGTCCTGAGTGTATCAAATGACTAGGGTCGAAGAAGGCGAGCATGTTAGCCAATATATGTCGAGAATCCCGCAACGTTTAAGTTACGCTCGAGGCTGTACTGTGGAAGAGATGCAGGTGCTGAGATTCGCCCGCACGGACGACTCGGATCTCCGAAACCATGGGCCCTTGTGACTATGGAGGACTCCGTGAAAAACGATCATCATTCAGGGAGTACGTCAGTATAGAGGATACATTGGTAACCAAGCGCAAGTAAGGAGAATCGGAGCCGATGCGAAGACAACAACCCGTGACTTTTTTTGGGTGGGGGGCTTCGTGCCGTCGTTCTTAGTGGTCTTAAGAGGGCATGTCGTGAGGCGCGATTCGGCGCGCTGTGCGAAGTTGTCCAAGGTGTGGCCACCCCGAACTTCTCCGTAACCCGTGAGTTTGTGTTTGGTCTCTGTCTCAGCGCTCTCCCTCTGGACGTCGTTTCAACCACTCTGTCAGCTCTTCTGTAGAACGCTGTACGGCGGGTCAGTTACCATACAGTGTGTGTATATCTCGAGCACCATGTAGAGACAAACCTTCACCCATGCCGCACGCGTCTTGATGTTGTCCAAGCTCTGGCGAAGGGCCTGATCATACGCCGCAGTATCTCTGTCCTTGAAGAATGCCGCGGTCGCCTCATAGTCCTTATCAGAGGATAGATACCGGAATGAGACCTAAAAAGCAGCATCAGCGCACAAGCTTATGAGACGGAAAGCACGGCACCCACTTCGATGAATCTCTTGAAGTTGAAGGTTCCCGCATAGCGTTTCTCCAACTCGTCGAAGCGATCTTTCACGCGTTCCGCGAGGAACTTGCGCGTGAGCGGGTTCTGCTGTAGCCCCGACAAGCACCGGGGGATGTCCTGATCGCGCACCCCGGTGAGCGCAAACTGAAAAGTCTCCTCTGCGAGTCCAAGGTCTTTACTTGCGCCGACTGCGTAGAGCGCCGCGACGCCTTGTGCCGGATTCTTGGGGTTCGATGCAAGCTGCTTGGCGTACTCCCATTCCGGACGCCCGCCTTCACCAACGCCCTGTTACTCATAGTTGCGCTACTGAGTATTTGTAGATTCACAAGAAGAAAGGAGGTACGCACAACTTTGAATGTAACGCCTTGTAGCTCGCTGGGGATTTTGGAGTCATTGCCTGTTTGTAGGAGGTGGGCATACCACGCCTTCAGTTCGGCGACAACCCTTCCCGCAAGTGTGTCAAAATCAGCCTGGTTGATCCGCGTCGTTGATGGAGAACAAGTCCCACGTACTCGGGATTCCCCGCTGCAGCTGCCTGCCTAACGGCCAGAGTACGAAGCAATCGATCGTTAGGGGAGTCTGATATTGAGTACTTCAGTCCTAGTCTCTTGACAACAGGGACAAACAGATCCTAGGACATCGAATTGTTAGTGGTTCGAATAACCACAACTCAGAAACGACGGTAAGACTCACTCTTCTAAAGGCATTCAGAAGTTCCACGACCTGTGGCTTTTCGTACCATGTGGACACAATCTCCTCGATGTTAGTCGCAATCGTATCCCATACGAAGTCTTTCGCAAATCGGTTAATGTCACAATAACTATATATATATGTCAGCTGCGGCAGCTTACATTCCTTCTCGCCCTGGAGCATCCTGATAAGCGCGAATGCACTGCTGACAGGGGCGTATCCAGCCTTCGCGAGCGCAGACGCGTCCCATACCAAGCCGATGCGATCGGATAATGAGAACGGAGAGTCGGGAAGGGCAGCTGTTCGGCCAAGCCTAACTAGACGTTCAGGACTGTACTGGACAGCGTCTTGTAGGGTGTATCAGTTCACCGAACATATACAAGTCTGATATGACTGTGCTCACAGAAGCCAGTCGTGTCAACGTTGAGCTTGAACACCTTGCTAGTTTCGAGGGAGTAGAAATTTTCACGTGTGTCGAATATGTGCTTCTGCACAGTTGGCTTTCCGTCGTCGGAGACCGTGAGAATGCTCAATGGGACTGTCCTATGGATTGCCAGTTATGAATACCGTATCAGGACAAATGCAGACGGAAGAACAACTTACCAGATGATCTGGTTGTGCTTTTCCTCAGCAGGACCTGTCTCGAGAAACCTGTCTTGGCGGATGTGTAGACCATCTTCCGTCTCGGTCACCGTCAGAACAGGGTAGCCCATCTATGCACCATGTCAGCTCTAGCGATATGGACAAGAGGTGTTTATTACCTCTTTGATCCATGTGTCCATGATCTTAGGGATATCGAGGTTAGTTGCAGCTTGGATGCCCTCCCACAAGTCCTTCGTGACTGCGTTCTTGTACAGGTGCTTCTTCAGATAAATAGACACGCCCTTCAGGAACTGATGCTCCCCGACATGACTGGAGAGCATGCGAAGGACTGTCGCAACATCAGCCTCCGTGCTGACAAGCGTGACAAATCTCGCAAAAGAGCATACCAGACGCCGCCTTAGCATACGACAAGGCATCGAAGATTTGCAGAATGGAGTCCTCATTAGGGCACTCCACTTCGACGGGATGAGAGGAAAGCTTTGCATCGAGCTGCCGCGCCTGAAAGAAGCTTGAGCCGAGAAACTCGGAATCTGGCTTCCATTCTGGCCACACTCTGAGAACCACCTCAGTGTCATCTTTGCAGATCAAACAGCATAGATTGTTACCTCTCTGAAGCAGACATGTGAGTGCGAAGCATATGAGAAATGAGTAGTAGAGCTTACCGAGGATGGCCTTGTCTCCCATCTAGTATGCAAAGATATATCGGAGAACAACGGACCATAGTACACTGCGACTCACGAGGGTCGCGAATCCTGGATACATCACGTTCAGTATACATATTCCCGATATTCATGTCGTCTCTTCAATTACCTTCGTTGAGATACAGGTTATCCCACCATTCCATCGTCGTGATGTCGCCGAACCTGTTACACTGTCAAGTAATATACCGTGAGCGGACAGCAAGGCTGCACTCACCACATGTGAGCAACTTCGTGTCCAACCATGGACGCAACTGATTGTTGGTTCTGGACATCGTTGGAAGTGGGATCGTGGAGGAGATACTGCGTGCGACAGATAACCAAGCCCTATAGGTGCGACGGCATGTTGAAGCCAGGAGTTTGTGAGGTGGACAAAACGTCATGAACGTACCCAGTTCTCCATGCCACCTGAAATTCAAGTCGCTGTTTGTCAGTGGTGGTGAACCTCGATACGGATTAAGATACAAACCAAGGTCAAAATCATCTACGGCAAAGATATCGAGTTTGGGGAGGGGGTATTCGATATCGAACATCTGCTCATAAATGGGCATGATCTTGGTCACCGTGTCCAAAGCGAATTGCGCATGCGGAATAGCGTTTGCAGTACCTGAAAAAGTACTGTTCGCCACCTGACAGTCTGCACGCACACAAAGCACGCACCGTAGAACCGTAGAGGTCGAACCTTGCCACTCAGAGTGCTCTTATAGGAGCTTTCGATGTACTCGAAGGGACCATTGGCGTATGCGATGATGTAGGACGACATCTGTCGCCCATCAGGCCGTTGAGTTCAGACGACATCGACGAAATGAGCTCTTACTGGCGGTGTTGTTTCGAACGTCGTTATTTTCCAGTCCGACGGATGAAGCAGCGACGCGAAGGTGTTGGCAATCCACGAACCCTCTTCAACCTCCAGCTGAGGCGTGTACACCTCTTCGTGGGCAACAGGCATGTTGCTGATGTTGACTGTATCCTTCCGAGAGATCATAGTGATCGCGAAAGTGGCCTTGAAATTGGGCTCATCCCAGCACGGAAAAGCGCGCCTTGCGGCCGTAGGCTGAGTGGCAAGCAATCAGCTGGGCTTATGTAGAGGTGCATGTCCGCCGGTATGCCCTCACGCACCTGGAACTGCGTGAGTGCGTAGACAGTCTTGCTGTCCTTTCCACCAGTAGATCTGTAATAGCCCATCATTTGGCTGGAGACGTCCGCTTTGAAGGCAATTTTGAGTCGCGCCGTAGAGTTGGCAGGGAGGACATCAGGAAATGTGAAGATTACACGCTGGCGTGTATCGTCGATCTCCGTAGCCGAAGGCGTCTGGGTGTTCTGTAGAGCATAGGAATGTAGAGATACCTCACTGAACTCCAGAGCGAGGGAGTTGAGCACAACAGTAGAGGTATCGGTACCAATCCGTAAGCTATTGTTACGAATCGTCGTGAGTTACAGCAGTTGTGTTTATATCGACAAATAAATGTTCACCTAATCTCAACAGTACCGCTGAACTTCAGATCCTGGAGATCCGTCCAAATCGTGAGGTCATAATGCTCAGGGGCTATATTTTTAGGAAGACGATAGTCTTTCTGTGGCGCAAATTCTTCCGACATACGCGATCTTAGATTGGCGTTGGATGAATCCCTCACCGGTGGTTACAAGTTGGAGTCGAAGTTCTACATAGCGGAGTTGAGGCAGTGATAGACGGATGCCTCGGGAACGTCGGACCGAACAAGGCCGTTTGAGCGGCTGCGGGTCGCGCCGACTTGCCCTCGCGCGCGGTTTGTTGCGTGAACCCTCCTTGGTCCTATTCAGATCTCAGTACAGCCATGCGGGCATCTATGGCAGCGTCTCGTCAATCTCAGCTACCTGGCTCTGTGTCAAGTGCGGCAGCTACGCTCAAGCTCTTGGAGAAAAAGAAGGAATTTGAAGCCGTTGCCGCGCTTGAGAGAGCGAGCGCGCAATTCCTCAAACGCATAGAGGAGCTAGGTGACGACTTCGAGGTCATGGCTGATGCGGGAATGGGTACGTCTATATCAGGCCTAGGTACTGCGACAAATACCTCACGTCACGTACAGTCCATGGGCAGGTACTGGAGCAGTGGCCCAACATGTTCAGAATCCTTAGCCTCTTCCGTACGTGTCCTCCACGCGTCTCCATTTCCTTGTTTTCACCCCCTCCTACAGTGTCACAACGTGAGAAGCTTGCCGAGGACGAAAATGCGTCATCTTCAGCGAATGGCGAGCGGTTAGTGCGGGTGCCACTCGAAGAGCTGCGCCAGAGGGAACCGAGGACATGACTACACCGTTCCCATGCACAATACCCCGTTGTACAGTATGTCGTACTTTGTCTCTCTATCTCTCGTCGACCATGGTGTTTCCAGAACATGAATTCTACTTGACACGGGCCCCGAGCACCGGATGCTGAATCCGGAAGCCAAGACCTTCTGCGGCTTCTTTTGCGATTGTGATCCTTGTGCCAGATATGCGTCTTAGCGCCGCTCAGATGTCAGAGTTCAGTTTGTTCTGCCTAAACACTCGTCCTCTCTGCACGTAGTCGAACGTAACCGAGTGACGATGGCGCTGCTTTCCTTGACACCGCATGGTGTCAAGGCCTGCGAGAGGTCATGAGGCGAGGCAGACCTTGCAAATGCACTGGACTCTACGAATCGAACAGTCCTTTTGGGCAGCGGCGGGATCGCCTTCCGGCTCGCGTATGTGGGCGCCGGAAGCTGCGAGCACTGGCCACCCCTTTATGGTCAAGTGGTTCCCCGTATTCCAGATACTCCCAGCCTATGAGCATGCCTTTCGCACGAGAATCGCTTGCGATTCGAGTGTCGGGATTCTCTTATCGCGGACGCCTTCGAATGTCGTAAATGAAACAGTCGCAACGTCATATGCTATTGGAGCGTGCGTACCTGCCTCGATGTATCCTGTGTCGCGCAAGGCAGAGAGTCAGCCTAGCTCAGTCAATGAATTCCTAGCAAGTGCGGGAAGGCCGCTTCTGGAGGTATGTATGTATACTATGTAGTCCTAGTTTACCTACTGATGAATTGAACCGGTGATTTAGTGCCAGGGACTCTTCAAGGACCAAACCCATCAACATAACCTTCGGTTGGAAAAAGACATGGTAGCAAGCGCAAGCTGACGAGCATCATCGTGCCTCCCAACAGACGAGCCGGGATTCCGTCAGATGGGCAAAAGCGTTCCACGATGGACCGAAAGCGTAAGCGGGTCTTATTTCTAGAGCTACCGAGCTGCATCGCCGCGAAGTGTTAGTGTCATGATAGCCTTCAGACGAGGGTTTTTTTTCCACTTGTGAGCGCACGTTGACAAACCCAGCGCCGCTGATCACTGGTGTTACGATAACCCCCTCTCGTTGAGGGAAAAATAGAAGCGAGTGCGGATGCTGAAGTCTTCGCATATAAGCCACGCCCTTCAAAGTACAGAAGGTATCTACCCCCCACCGGCAGTAGTAGCTTTGATATATCAGCCATCCCAATGTCCCTCTATGTGCCAGCAGCGTTCCTTGCGGTCGGCGCCCTCCTCTTCGTCTTTCGCTTGCTCAACCGCGGCGGCATCAAACATATCCGTGGCCCCCCGTCCCCTTCTTTCATCCTCGGTAAGTCCTGAGCAGTAACCTCTCCTACGGGATACACGCTGACCCGCAGATGCTCAGGTCATGACGCCGTGATCGCTCGCCAAGAAGTGGGTACCCTAGATATACAGTGGATGAAAGAGTATGGTCCTACTTGGCGAGTTCGAGGTGCCTTCGGGGTAGAGTAGATTCTATTATCCCTCACTCGCGTCATGATTAATGCTTGGTGCAGACGGACGTTCTCATGAGTGCAGATCCCAAGGTACGGCACCAGCTGCATCGCTGGCATCGAGGTGACTTGGGAGTGTGATACTGACCGGTGTGCTCTCCGCTCAGGCTATCCAGCACGTATTCCAGAAGTCGGCCGAAGAAGACGTCCCAGAGTTTCATGCATTGGCTTCTAGCAGGTCTTGGCATCGCGGCCGTCGTAGGTGTGTAGATATGCTGCAACGTTCGCTCATTCGAACTAATGGTTGAGCAACTCGGATGTAGGTCACGACCACCAGCGTCAGCGGAAGATAATGAGCCCGGCGTTCAGCGTACCCCAGCTCCGGAGTTTCTTGCCTCTATTCCAGCGCATTGCGGCCAAGGTAAGGTTCCTTTCCTTGTTATGTTGTTGTGAACGTCATACTCATCATGACTTTGCTGCAACCCAAGCTTTCGAACAAATGGAAGGGAGAGCTCGTAGCTACTGGTGAGCTAAGCCTCCTGCTGGAAAAATGGCTGTCGCGTGCTACACTGGATGTGATCGGAGAAGGTGACTGTTGCTCATCTTGAATTTCTCTTATAACTACTCAAGCGCTTTGTAGCGGCATTCGATTACAACTACCATGCTCTTGATGACGGAGAACGCAACGAGATTTCGAAAGCCTATGCGAACATCTTGTAAGCGGTAGAAGTTATTGTCTCCTCAAGCGGTGCTGACTACACTCGTGTAGCGCTGACGCGAGCTACATGCCGTCGACGGCATCCTTGTTGTTCCGTGCTGCTTGGGATTACATTCCTACCCCTGTCCTCAAGTTGACCAGATATATTCCACTCAATCCTTATACCCGCATGCGCAAGCTCAATAACATGTTCCGGGAGTACGGCAAGCAGATCCTCCGAGAGCAGGGTCCTGAGGTGGATACGGAGAAGGTCAACAGCAAGGACGCGATGAGCATTCTCAGTGAGGGTCTAACCCTAGCGTTCCTTGCGTTCACGGGTACAGTGGAACTCACGAGGGATTTTCCAGTCAAGGCGAATCGTTCCGCGGACTCCAAGACGCGCCTGGACGACGAGGAACTCATCGCCGAGATGTTCACGCTCACACTCGGTGGCCACGAAACCACCTCCACCACGCTCACATTCCTCCTTTACGAACTGGCGAGGTACCCCGAGTATCAAGAGCGCATGCGTCAGGAGATCAGAGGTGTTCGTGCCAAGGTCGCACAACGCGGCGAAACTGAATTTTCCACCGAGGACCCAGAATCGCTGACTCTCACGAACAATGCTATCAAGGTAAACGGCTGGGGCACCCTGATTCCGGTGGGTATGACGTCTCATGAGTTGCATACAGGAGACCCTTCGGTTCCATCCGATCGTCATCAGTCTTGCTCGTGTCGCCCTCAAAGACGATGTGATTCCCCTCACGTATCCGATTGTGTCGACGACGGGCGAGACGATCAGAGAGATACCGGTCAAGGCCGGACAGGTATTCTCTGCGTCGTTTATCGGATACCAACGGTACGTTCTCTTGTTGCGTGTGTGGCATCAACCTGACGTGGCATCCCGCAGCCTGACGGAAGCCTGGGGCGAGGACGCCAATGAGTGGAACCCAGACCGCTTCCTCCGCAGTGAGATCTCCAAGCAGCCTGCGAATGTCAGCGTTTTCGCAAATCTGTAAGTCGCGGTTCCGATCATGATTGTCCTGTTCGGCCTGCTGATCATGTCCGTCCAACAAATTGACATTCTGTGAGCACTGACTCTTTCCTCGAGGCTCATACATCGCTGACCCCTGCCCGTAGCTGCTGGAGTCCGGGCCTGTATCGGATGGCGATTCTCGTGCGTATCAGGGCTATCCTCTTCTCCGCCTGCCAGATTGCCAGATGTCTATGATGTTGATATAGGGTTCTGGAGATGCAAGCGTTCCTGGCCGAGCTGGTGGAGACCTTCCAATACTACCCGCCGAAGGCAAAGGTGGATATTCAGCAGGCTATGGCCGGTATTTTTTCGTTCCCTGCCATCCGTGGTAAGGTGGACCAGGGTAGCGCGCTGCCAATCGGTATCTCGCTTGCGCAGTGAGCGTAAGATCAATAAGCCGCGTCGCTGAATAAGACGGGTGCCTTAGATGTATTTGTATCCGGGAGTCGTTCACTTGTATCTTTGACACGTCGTAGTGAAAACATGTTGACTGGCAGTGATGTTGATAGCTAGGGTTCCGAGCGACTCAACCGTGGACGTCCCCGTGTTTGCTTCACCCAGACCAATTCGTGCATTGCATGTCCGGGGGCAATATGTGATCCAAGGAGGGCGCCTCGAATCCCAGGCAAGGAGTCTATACATTCGATGTTAGCTTACTGTTCTAAGTCCAGTCATCATGCCGTCTACGAAGGTGAAGACGAGCGCACCATCTGGCTTGCTTGGGTACGCGCCGGTCGGCTGGACTACACAAGTGCGATTATCCTCGCAGTTGTTATTGGCTTGAATGACGGCGAGGATAGTCAGAAGCACGGTAATATATTAATTTCGGCTGTGCCCATTCTACGGGCTGGGAACAATAGCCAAAACAGGACGACAGCGACCAGCTTCTCAGGATCTCAATACAGAACTTAAATGAAATTCGCTGTGTAGCGGATACTGCCGTCATTTCGGTGTTCGCAGTCGGCAGGGCAATCAAAGTTCTCAACACGAGCACGACTCGGACATTGAATATAATGCCATGGTCTTCATTTGCTAATTGAACGACACTGACACGAAGCTGCTCCAAGTACATCGGCTTCATGAGCGGACATCACCTGATTGCATCGCGACGAACATCAGGAAAACGTCACGAACTTGTACAGGTACTTGAGGTACTTGGCCAAGTACCTCAAGTATCCCAAGTACCTCAAGTACCCCAAGTCCAATGGACTTGGCCAAGTCGGGTGGGTCGACTTGGCCAAGTACCAGGTACTTGGCCAAGTCCTCCAAGTCCCTGTTCAAGTTCATGCCCAAGTTCACTGTGAGATGTATTGAATAAAGATGATATGCATGGAAGTCAATCAAAGGACAGCTGCTCTTGATCAAGGTCAAGTGTACAATATTTGTTAGCGGGTGCAGCGGCGGCAAAAAAAAATGCCACCACAGGGAATTGAACCGGCGACCTGCAAATTCAGTGTCCAACACAGCATGTTCAACCACTACACCACAGAAGCTCACACTATAGCACAGAATAGCAGCCATATATAGCGCTCTTTGCTGGACTCCGAGAAGTTCTTCACCATCCTCACCTGTACCATAGCAGAACTTGGACATCCACCACTGATACCACTATTCTTGAGCATTATCTGGATATTGTACCTCTGTATCACTACTGAAACAAGCACATTGTAACAACTTAAAGTCTTCTATCACATGTTATTGCCCTTCTTCTAATAGACTATCAAGCTGCTTCTACAGCCTTAAAACAGACTGGTTTACAACTAGTGTATGGTTGTCTATGATAGATATTATTACATAAGAAGTATACAAGATGTGTGACTGATAAAACACCAATTGCTCAAATTGAGGCCTGAGTATACTGAAGTCAACATGTAAAGTCCAAGTTGTGGCCCAAGTACCCCAAGTACCCCAAGTATATAGACTTGGGTCAAGTCCGTGTACTTGGGACCAAGTACATGGACTTGGGGCCAAGTACACAGACTTGGGGCCAAGTACACAGACTTGAGGCCAAGTACACAGACTTGAGGCCAAGTACACGGACTTGAGTCCAAGTACATGAACTTGGGCCCAAGTATGGGTCCAAGTCCGTGACGTTTTCCTGATGAACAGAGCTTTGAATGGGTCAATTATGACTATATCATACGACGGCCACCGGAAGACAGTACTCTTACATCCTGATTATATCGTAGACAGACGGAGTAGTGTGTCTAGAAGTCGAGTAACTTGAAGCGACTAGTGATCGAATCCCTTAGGAAGGTGAAGCAAGAAAGGGAGACCCATGTTCCAGCACAACGCGGACCGATGGTTCCCCTTCGAGACGGATCGAGCGATTCTGTACTACAGCTGGTTGTGGAATTTATGCCAGCCGACTCCGAACGACGCTCGCGCACTTTCTGCATCGTAAAATGAAACAAATTCCATAAATCGCCCTGCACTATCAAACACCTAGATTACGAAGTATTCAACCCTTCTAGGTCTATAAGAGGCTGAAACATGATGAACAAGGGTGATCCACGGTAGAGACTACAACGAGGTTTGCAAACCTCTGGGATATCGATATCGGGCCAGGGAGGTATCAAACCTCCCAACCCACGCGGTCTTAGTGATACGCGTCGGTTAGAGTTTCGGTTAGGGTTCGGTTAGGGTTCGGGCCCAGTGAGAACGTGCCCGATTCGGGTCGATTTCGGTCGAATGTGATCGTATGTAGTCGTACACCCCGAATTTTTACGACCATCCGGACCATTTACGACGGCTGTCATATTTGGCTGTGTAACGTCGTATGAGGACCCAACACGAATACGAATCCCGTCGATTTGGGTCGACTGTGGCCGTGAGCAATCGGTTACGGTTGGGCAATTTTGGGTTTTGCTGATCTGTATTGGGAGCACACCATTGGATGATATGGGTGATATCACTGTATTCTGTTGTATGATATTGTATTACTACATGGTACTGTACAGCTACTACTGGGCGCAATTGGGTTCTGTGCAGACACTGCTTTGCTAGAGCACATGCATGATGATTTTGAGCCGAACCCGTGAGTTATTGGAGAGTCAAGGAAAGAGTCGCGATGTGGGAGGTGAATATATCCAAACTTTGAGCAAGGAGAATCAAAGGCTAGATGAGGGTGTGTCAGCTTGCACATATGTAGTCATGAGGCACGGAACCGGCCATCACCTCGAAGGGCGCGCCAGACAGAACTCGAGGGGATGAGTTGGGAAAGGAGTGAAAACGACTTGACCTTGTCTAAGACCGCAGGCGGCCTTCAATTATGAAAGGTGTCTTTGATCCTAATGTTGTCAGTAAGAGGGCTCGGAGGCGGTGTTGGTGGACATACCAGAGACATGGTCCACAAATCCTCCCCGCTGCCTTCTGTTCGTTGGGTAGTGATGAGTACATGCGGATATCAGAAACAAAGGCATACCTTTCGATCTGCGGGGTTCAGGCGCCTGAAGCGCTGCTCACTTATGACTTGCATGCCAGTGGTCTTCTGCGCCCGAAGGGGGCCAGACAGCCAAAGAGAGAGCAGGAGGAAAAGGGGGGTAGAGGACAAGATGGAGGACGAGAGCAAACCCTCTAGGCAAGTATGCCCATCCAACTGACGTCGACATACGTCATGTTGAGGGCAGGCTTCCCATAAGGATAACACAGGGCCAGACGCCCCGAAGCCCAATCAACTGAAGGTCTTGGAGATAGACGCTTACACAGATGCGAAGGCCACTTAAAGCAACATTAGGGACACTAAGCTAATGCTAAAGACAGTGTTGGGGTCGCCTTAGGAGTTCCATGATAGTCTGTAAGGACGTACAGACGTCACTGGCTCATAGAGACATGCACGTCCGATCCAGCGACCGTAGAGCCTGATAAAGACATCAGATGGGCACCTGAGATCGCTCACCCAATCTAAATCGACACTGTCGCGGCGATGTCACAGCCAACGAGCTGTGCCACCAAAACAAACAAGGGCAAAGCTTACTGGTGCAGAGGTTGGTGCTGAGAAGCGAAGCAACCCGAGGTGACACAGCAAGAGATGTGAAGAGGTGTATTCCCTAGACTAGAAGGGGCAGTAGAAGGTAGGGCTGCTAGCTA